AATTGTCGGTTGTCAGAACGTTATTAACAACATTTATCAATAATAGTAAGTAATTATACTATTTATTAAATAATCATTAATGATAGTTTTAATAATATTATTTAGTTATTTTTAATGTAAAAGTAAATATTAAATTTACGAATAGGATTTATTAACAATATTCATTATATTAATAATTACCAAAACTAAATTAAATTAATAGTAATTATAATATTTTATTAAATAATCAATAGCAATACTTTTAACATCATTTTTAATTATTTTTAATATAACAATAATTACTAAATTTATTAACAGTATTTATTAATAACAATATTTATAATTTTAATTAAAGTAAATATCTATTTATTAACAATATTTATAATAACAGTAATTATTAATTATAATCACTAATTATATATTTATTATATTATTGTAATAATCAGTAATTTATAATAGTATTTTTTTAATAATAGTATTTATCATTTTAAAGTAAATATCTAATTATTAACAATATTTATAATAACAATAATTATTAATTATAATTACTAATTATATATTTATTAAATTATTATAATAATCAGTAACTATTAAATTACAGTAATTAATTACTGTTATTGTAATTAATAGAATAGGATGCTTCACGTGGGAATCTATAGATTCCATTTATTGCACGGAGAGAGCATACCAATCGTATTAATATATATGAATTGGCAATATCTACACGAGTGTTTCAACAATTTACTCGACATGATGAGAAAGACAAAAGTGAAATAGACAGAACCAACGAAAACATTCGCACTGCATTAAAATATCCAACCCAAAGAACATAACTAGTAATAAAAAATCGCCATGTGTCGTATTCATATAGACAGTGATGCCCAATAACACCACCTCAAAGAGCAAACTGGTAACTTCATCAAGTAATATGGATATGACGTGTGCAGCCCTCCCTTCAGCGAGCCAACCTAGCATTAGCTGATGTGACCACTTCCCTCAGCTGTTGATGCCAGCCGACCTAGTACCGAACACTTTGTCCTTGAAAGCGAGGGACGAATGGCATAGTCGAAGCTTCTACTTCACCAGAAGAAAATTGAATTAAGCAAACACATACACATAATAATAAACTCATGACATGTGTATGTCTAATCATACGAGGAAGCAGTGAGGACGTCCACGTGCAGAATTGAGGCCATTAGATGTTATACATTTAACATGCATGGCTCAACCAAAGGTATAATATAAGTTGATCGGGCTCTGACCCTGTGTGAGTGACATGTTCATCTTTTGGCAAGGCTCTACTTCTGTACACAAGTAAGTTTCCATCCAATCTACTATACACTGTAGATAGAGGTGAGCAAAAACAAATCGAAAAACTGAATCGATTGAAAAAATCAATCGAAATTAAACTAAAAGATCAGTTAACCGAATCGATTGGTTCGGTTTCGACTAATCAATATAAAAAATAAACAGTTAATTGAAATGATCGATATATATATTTATATATTATATATATTATTTAAAATACAATATTTTATTTGGTTCCGATTATTTAAAATCAAAGAATCAATAAACCGGACCAATGATTAACCGATTGCTTTTGATTTGATTCCGATTACTGATTTTCAAAAAACCGGTACTATCAATTCAATTCAAAAAAATGTCCCACAATTCGATTAAACAATTCGTGAGCACCGCTAACTGTAGACTCCTAAAAGTCATATACCTTGCAGTTACCTTGGCTCACCTCTCCTCGAATATATATTAATTGCTATCTAGCTCCTCATCTCATCTTTCTTTCCTCCCACTTTATTGACTGACCATCAAAGTCCACGTCTTTAAGTTATCACCCCAGGGCCTTTGGCATTCTCCTTTAAACCACAAGTGACCCTCTAGTAGTTAGCCATTAGCTCTTGTCTTTCAGTTCACAGGCCGCATCATTAACCATCCGTTTATTTGTACGTTTAAGGTTAATTTGAAAAATATATATAAATACGAATGTAGAATTTTGTATTTTATATTTTTTTATGTATTTTTACTGAACATATTTATATTTGTATTTTTTTTTTTCAAATTAAGCCTTAAGAAGAATACTGGTGACTGCCATAAGGCCCTTTAGTTACAAAGGATATTGGACACACACCGAGTGATAGTCAATTGCAGCAAATGACTTAAAACCAATCTGGAAAGATGAATCATGTTCATGTTTGGGTTGATAATTAAACAAGTTCAGATTTGATGATCGTAAAAAAGGGTGAGATAATATATGTTAATTATTATTCAATTAAGCACCACACAAAGCAGAAAACAAATCAGGATATTAATCCACTTTAAATAAACCAGCCTACCTCACTCACATATAGACATATGGGATTATGGGAAATAAGGTGGAACTCCAATGATTTGACATTTGACCATCATCACAAACCTATGATCATGGATTGAATCCATTGAGACCCTATGTACACGGAACACCGATGTACTTGCTATTGATTAATCCTGTGGTTCATTGTGGACAGCTTTATATGTGTGTCATCTATTTCTTAAATTGGATAGGTCTTCGAGCCATTATCCGATCCAACATTTTTAGGGTAAAATAAAATATAGAGAATTACCTTGTATTCTAGGGGTAAGTTGCCAATTGACTGGTTGGTTAGGTCTTCCTGTTGGTTGTAGTAAAGATTTGGGTTTTAATCCCACTTGCACCAGGGTTATATATATATTATAAAGAAAATTAATTTATGGTTTGCTTCTGCCAGAAAATTTTGTTGGATTTTTTAATGTATTGCCCTAAATCCACACTGTGCCACAACTTACAAACTTACAATACTTCCCTTATATTGCGATAGGTTTTTCCACTTTTCATTGTTTTCAAATGCATAAATTCATAAAAATTTATGAGGTGGAGGAATCAATAAAAAAACCCAAAAAATGTACATTGTGGATAATGACACTTAGGTCCCTGAATTTTTCTTAGTGACGTAGAGTTACTTTGTACTTTCAAGTCTCAAATTTCAGTGCTCAATCTCATTATCATTTTGTCAATTTTGAATTTTTATGAAACCATTTTCCCCTCCTTTATTTTATCTCCACAACTCAAAATTTTAAATTTGGAAAATGTATGGTTTGTTCCTCCTAAAAAGTTTTTATTGATTTTTCTAAATGTGTTGTTTCAAACTCCTACCTATTTTACAATACCCCTTTGTATTGTGATGGATTCTCTCATTTTCACTATTCCCAATTATATAAACATATACAAATTTTTGAGGTGGAGGAATCTATAAAACCCTTTTGAACTTTTTTCTATCTTCCATTTATATGTTTTAATTTGTTTAAGAGAGCGATGGAGTAACCAGCTTGGAGAATTCATAATATGGTTTTGTGTACATCATCAATGGATGCACAAGCATAAATATTAAAAATAGAGAGCAATTATAGAAATTCAAAATCTGTGTTTTGGAGAATGCAATGAAAAGGCCAAGGTTGCCTCATAGAAGTTCAAGTGTTTAACTAATGGAAGGCAGCAACAACATACATTAGAATATGAAAGAAAATGATGGCTCTGCAATGCAAATGAAAGTTCAGAAACCCACGTTTCATTATTCCCAAATTATATATGTATTTTATGGTTTTTAAGACAAATAGTTATGTGGTAAAATAGAAGAAAAAATCTTGGTAGGAGATGGGTCAATTCATCTGTCCGTGGGGGTGCAATGGATCATCCGATCTGATTCTGATCCTATTTTTGTCGGATTTGGATAACTTTATATTGGATTTTCAATATATATGTATATATCTATAAATATATTTACTTATAAAAAGACATGTATATATTAATATATTTATTAGCATATTTATCTATAAATATATTTATATTACATTTTTTTGTAAATTTTTATAAAAAGACATGTATATACTAATATATATGATGAAAATAGTTGAAAAAAAACATATATTTTTTTCTTTATATAAATTGTTATGTTTTTTTTTCTTTTAATAATTTATTAAAATTTCAGAATTTGAATTGGATGGATCGAATTCAAATATATAACATCTTTAAATTACATTTGTCATGTCTAATCAAATATTCGAATCAGATCGAATCTTAAATATATAATTCGGATATAACCCGATTCGATCCATTTGCATCCCATCCGTACACATTTTATGACCGTGGGTAAAAAAACTAATGTGTACAAAATCCAAATTCCCTATAATAATGAATCAAAGATCTGCTGTACTTGATTTGGCTTCACTTTGGTTCCACCTCCTCACAGCAAGGTGCAAGGTGAGGTCCATTTCCACGGGTTTGCTCCCGTGCCACCTCTTTTCAGATGAGCTGAGCCTGAGCATCTCAATCCTCAAGCTATCAACCACGAAGGAAGCGAGTCGGTCACCGGCATGGGTCCCATCTTGTTCGTATCGTAAGGCGATGAAAACAAAAGTTGTGTGAACCCGTATTTTTGTGGACATCTGGGCATAGTAAGAGTTGAGACCACAAAAATGCCGACTGAACAGTTAAAACTCTTTCGAGAAAATTCTCCATTACTATCTTATACTTTGTGTTTATTGAAATTTTGGTCTTTAAATTTTAAAATATTATCCGAATTTTTAAAACCTGTCGATACAGTATCTGTTATTAATCAGTAGTTATCTTAAATAACATTTTAAAAATACATAATGCTCTTCAATTGTCATTTAATTTTTTTATCAATCATTTAAATATTGATAAAAAACTAATAACTATAAATCTTTGAATATTTTAATAATTTTAACTTTTTTAAATAAAAGAAACAAACATTTAAAATTATTATTTTTTTGTCAATATTTAAATAATTAATAAAAAAAATTAGATGATATTCAAAAAATATTTAACCAGCTAGTTAATAATAAATAATAAATTATCCCATTTTAAAATTTTGAATATTAAATTGTCGTATGGGGTCCAAAATAACACTGAACCCAAAGTATAGAGTATTAGTCGGTAAATTTCCCTTTTATTTTCCTGGCATTACCTTTCCGTTTAAAATTATTTCGAAGTCTGATTCCCCCGGGTGTTCATTTTTTTGGTAAAATCCCGGGTGTTCATTGGGTTATTATTGCATCGGCCATCAATCGCTCTATCGCCAATGCCAGCTTTTAGCCTTTTTCATCGCTTTATTATTTTCTCGCCACTACTTTCATCGCTTTCGGAGTCCATTAATTAAACACCACCACACTCCACTCTAACTCTAACAGATCCATTCCTTCTCTCTCCCTGCAAACCCCCTTCTCTGCTTCTTTGCCTCTCAAAATCGGCCCAAATCCTAATGACTAGCCTCAGTTGTTCATTTTCATTTTCTGTTGTTTCCAAATAAAACTTTCAAGCATTTGAACAGCCTTCCCTCTTTGTCCACTCATTTGTTTTGGTTCTTTACGTTTCTTCTCATTGATTTTCTTTGTCTTTCCTTTGGTTCGTCGAAGTTAAGTTCTTGCTATTTGGTTGGTCGAGGACTTTGTTCTTCGTTTTCTTTCTGTGAAATTAAAGCCTGCAAAATTTACACGAGAAATGGCGATGTCGGCAGCTAATATAGGGATGATGGATGGCGCGTATTTTGTAGGGCGGAATGAAATCCTTACCTGGATTAACGCCACGCTTCAGCTCAATCTCTCCAGGGTAGAGGAGGTACATATATCTATATATTATTTGTTCATATCCTTGGAGTTCCAAAGTTTTTTTTTTCCGTATTTTATATTGCTTGATTTTCATGTTATTTCAACTTATGAACCTGTCTTCTGCTCCACTGCTTCGGTGAACTGACATTTTTGAATTTTTAGTGGGAAACTGATTCGCGGGGAAATTGAATCTTTCTGTAATTGTATGTGAGTGGGGGGAAGCGCATGCGAACCGCAATTAGCGTTTTCTCGAGCTTTCTCCTCCCTCATGTAATCTGCGATTATTCTTCGTTGTTTGAATTTGAGAAATTTAACATGGGTTTCCGTGCTTTTTGTTGAGTGAGTGCATTAATGCATGTCTAAGGAACAGGGATCCGAAGTTCATTGTTATATATATCAATAATATAATTCTTGATGAAATGTTATGGTTATATTGAATGCCCTTCATGGCCATTTTGCCCTTTCCCCTTTATATGTAATACAATATACTTTCATATGTAGAAAAAAAAAACATTGATAAAAAATGTAGAGAAAACCTGTCCCAAAGGCTGAACCACTTTTCCCTTTGAATAGGTCACCAGTTCAACCATCTGGGTCTACAGGTCAACCTGTGATGTCATGACTATTAAAAGTATTCAAAAAAAATAATAATAAAACAATACAAAACCTGGTGACTCAGTAATGACTGCTGACCAAGTCCATGGCTTTTTGTGGTAAAGCGGGTTAGATGTTGACCAAAACCAGAATTGTGACCAGAGTCATCGGTCTAACTGACTGGGTTAGTGACTGGTCGGAAAAACTGTATTGAATTGCCTATATGTAGTTCAAATTTGCTTTTTTAATATATAAATTAGTGTAAGAGCGCGCACTATGCACATGCACAAGTAAGTATTAACCATATATGATATATGGTATTTGGATTTAACTTTTATCACCTGCATAGAACCCAAGGCAAATATATGCTTTATATAGTACTAGTGTAAGAGAATGTACTATACATGTGTTCAAGCAAGTGCTAATTATGCATCCATGTATGGAATTTGGATTTAACTTTATGATCTGCACGGAACCCAATGCAAGTATCTGCTTTATATGTTATAGACAGATAAAATCTTCATAGCATCTAAATGTACATGTACATGTATATATTATGCTTCAATATCAATGACTAAGATGCAGATTCTATATAGTTTTTTTTTTTGATAAATCAGACTCTATATAGTTTCTGCCAATGTTTTTCTCCTCACATCAGATTCTATCTTCTTTTTTTTTTTTCCTTTTTGATTGTGAATAGGCTGCATCGGGTGCTGTTCAGTGTCAGATGATGGACATGACCCATCCAGGAGTTGTTCCAATGCACAAGGTATCAACTTGCATGTGATTTGTAGTTTTGTGTTCTGCATCTTTTATTGCAAATATAGTATGCTTATCCCAGTTTATTTTAGGTGAATTTTGATGCCAGGACTGAATATGACATGATCCAGAATTACAAGGTTCTACAAGAAGTATTTAACAAACTAAAAATAGAGAAGGTAATTTTGTCATCTGCTTCTAATTTGACAGGAGATTCCAGCTGAGTCTCAAGCTCCATCTGGAGTGAGGATAGTCCTTTTGATGGATCTCAAGTTGCACATATTATTAGTAATGCCATTTGATGTTTATTTTATTTTCCATATCAGACCTTTTTATGCTTTGCCAGATTAAGTTCCATTTGGATTTTTGTGTATGGAACTTATTTCAGTGTTATTATTCATCTATACAAGGTTAGGATCCTATTGCGGTGTTGCTAAATATTAGTCGTAAAAACTGAATGAAGTGTTTCCTATTTGTGTCTCCAATGGAAGTACATAACCTTGAATTCCTCACAGCCATCAGCCAATAGCCTCATTTAGTCTCATTTTCTTCAGAGAAATGATTAATACTAATACTCTCAGTCTTTTAGACTACAACTGTGGTCCATGATGAAGTCAACTGGTATTATGATTATGAATATCCAAATAATATTTGAATGTCTATAAGAAGTCCTTTCCAGTGGATCATTAGGTCAATTCTGATTGTGCCAATTTTTGGGCATAGGACATCCCGGGTTGGGATTATTTTTAATGTATGATTGGTGTATGCATTTTCCCTTTCTATAAATTGAGGTTGTCACCATAAACTTATAAACACATTAATGATATGAATTAATGGCCAGTGGTAATCAGATAAATAGGCTGAAGTGTTAAACAACCAGCTTCAAATTAAGGATTTTGTACTTCTAGGAGGAAAGGTGGAAAATAACAAAGAGATAATTGTAATTGAAGTCAAGGCAGATTGTGGACAGAAATAGGCAATAAATCTAACCTTATATTGGTTCTATGTGAATGGCAGATTTGGAAAAAATAGATTCTCCTTGTTACAGGGGTAAAAATATTGATTTTTCTTCAAACTGTGGGTTATATATTTTTTAGTTTATGCCTTTGTCAATTAGACTCCTTTCTGCTTAATTTTAGTTTTTGGTTGGTATTACATTCTTATATGCTGAGATTGTCATGTTTAGCTGAGGTTCAATCAAGGGATAATAAATTTGAGATGAAAGGTCACTTGAGATACTCTTTTTACACCTTTATGTGCCTGAATAATCTGGCCTAATGGCAAGTATGTTTCAGTGGATGTCATCACAATAAGCTATAATGTGATGTAATCGTAGAACCTGGTTTAGATGATTATTACTAATTGTGCACTCACAAGCTCATGTTTTTAAATCTTGGTTTTGGTAACAATTGTCTTCCCCACCTATAAATTTTGTTAACTGGAATTTGACAGCGCAATAGAGCCAAGACTCAACTCCTCAAATTTTTCCAAGGCTCAGTTTGGAAGGAGTACAAATACAAATATGTACAGTGCAAATATATACAAAATACAAGGTTTTGCACTGTACATATTTGTATTTGTACTCCTTCCAAACTAAGCCTAAGGGGTGAGTTTTGCAATGATCATTTAAGCATATGGTTGTACTATGTATTTAAAATTTGAATTTTCATCTGGATATATGCTTTTATTTCAATTATTAATTGGTGTAAATGACAGCATATTGAAGTCAACAAACTTGTAAAAGGGCGACCTTTGGACAACTTGGAGTTTTTACAATGGCTGAAACGTTACTGTGACTCTGTAAATGGTGGCATTATGAATGAGTAGGCAGTTTATCTTCTTTGTCTTATTATCTTTCTGCAGTATCTATACTTCTATTTTATTTATCTTTACCAACTCCTTTTTTCAATATTTAAATCTCCCAAGGTCCTAACCGTTTAGTATTTCCTTAAGGAATTATAATCCAGTGGAAAGAAGATGTAAGGGTGGGAAGGAACGCAACCCCAAGGGTTCTCACAAAGTTTCAAAATCTCTTCAAGTAAACAGCTTAGCTAATAATGCTGGCTTGGGCAATGGAACAGGTTCCAAGACAGGTCAGCATGTTTCACTATGCAATGGTTATGTTTCATATGGATGCGCTGTATTCTGATCTCATTGTCTTAATCTGAATCACATTGATTCACATAGGACCTAAGCAAGGGAAAAGTGGTTCAGTGCCAGCTGTAGCTAATTCTGCTCGTGAGATTCAGGAATTGTCTGATCAGGTACTGGTGTTAGTAGGCTGCTGAATGGGGATATCTTCTTGTGTGCTGTATTTCAACTGTAATGGGGGCATAACATTGTAGCATATCATCTATTGCATATGTCCACCATTGCTTGGGCTTTAGTTACAAGTGGATCCTAGTACCAACCATTATGTGGATCATACTGTAGCAGTTTTTTTCATGGAGCTACACAATGGGGGGTAATCCATCCCCCATCCCCTTAACCCCCCCAATCCTGGTGGCAGTGGGATTTGATCCTAGGACTCTGCCACAACAAGTTGGAGATCCTACCAACTGAGCCACCATCAGTCTGTACCATTATGTGGATCATATTAATCAATGATAAGAACGAAAAGTAGCAGAACCCCTTTACTTGACTGCAATATGAAATTTTTATAACACCACAAGGATTGCTTAGTATTAGGATTGTCAGTCTTTACTAGTCTTAGTTGGAACTGTGGATTTTTTTAAGCATTTAACTTGTACTATTGAGCTTCAGTACTCTTTTGCTAGTTAGAATGATTTCCTTTCCTCAAAATTAATAAATATAGATATTGCAGATGACCACTAGAATTTCATTTCTTTTTCATTCCAGTAGATTGTGAAGGAAGATATTGCCCGGTCTTGGCTTTTCTTTTTTGATCTTTCTTAGCAGTTAGCATACAATGTAACTATATGATTTCTTCTTCTTCTTCCTTTTTTTATTGAGAGAGAGAGATAAAGTAAATTGTAGTTTTATGTTTTTGCGTGCAGATCATGGACCTCAAGCTTTCTGTTGATCATTTGGAGAAAGAGAGAGATTTCTACTTTTCAAAGTTACTGGAGATTGAAATCCTTTGTCGAAATCCTGAGTTGGAGAACCTGCCGGTAGGTGGTTTCTTTACTAACATACTTGTTCTAAACAATCCAATGGTGCTCATGATGACATACATTATAACATTTTCCTCTAACTGTAAACTATTTTATAATGAAATTTCAAGCATATGCAGTAGCCTAACCTAGTAAGTACTTCTATTATTCTTTTCAATTAAAGAAAGACATCATTTCATTAACAGTGTTGCAACTTAAGTTGGGTTTAGCCTGGAGTTAAAGTAATCCAACATGACTGTTGGGTTGACTCAGCTTGGAAAATGTCAAGCCACATAGGGTGAGGAACTTTGGTGACTTGACCTAAGTAGGGTGGCAAATGGATCAGATCATGATCTGATTCAGATACCAAGCCAAACATAGGATTGGTCTGAAGCCCAATCCTATTTTGTCGGATTCGGATATCCCCATTTCGGATCTATGGACCGGATTGAATTTGGATCACCTCTATTTGATCCTATATATATATGTTATTTATATTGCATTTTTGTAAATTTGTTATATTATTTATTTTTTTTTATAAAAAAACTGTATATATAGATGAAAATAGTTGAAAAGATACTTGTATTTTTTGTTTTTTCTTTATTTAAAATGTTACATTTCATTTGTCTTTAATAATTTATTAATTCTTTTAAAAAAATAAATTGGATTGGATCAGATCCGAATATCTCTGACTTCCTCATCGGGTTCAAATTCAAATCAGTGTTTATGAGATCTGATCGGATCGGATATGCCATTCATAGTATTAGATCGGATTCGGATATACCATGATTCAAATCCGATCCGTTTGTATCCCTAGACCTAAGTGAGCCTGATCTTATTGCTCTTTATATAATATGAGGTTGTTATGACTAAACTTTAACATGAAAAGCATCTAAAGCTAAGTAAAATATACTAAGTGAGGGCTTTTATACTTTTATTGAACTGTTGACCAGTTGAAAATGGGTAAGCATTGGCATTTTACATCTATATTTGCATCCTTGCTAAAACTAATATTGTACTTGACTACTATTGGTGTAGGGGCATCCAGAATTTCCATGCACTGCATGTCTGTACGATTCCACTTCTTTTTTTTTTTTTTTTTCTTTTTTTGAGAAACATCATTGTATTGAAGCAATAGGCACAAGCTGGTTTTGTAGGGAGAAATCATTGTTTCGGAACCTTAAGGAGAAAAAAGGACAAATTGGTTTCTATTCCAACTCAATTTTTTTTTTGTCCATGCTATTGGCGTACTTGTGGATCTCCTGCCCACAAGAATTTTGCCCACGTCTACCCACAACACACTACCCCCGTGAATTGAGAACATCTCCGCAGAGGTTGAGATGTTCTCCATGTGTGGCTGCAATAAACGTGGGCAGGAGATCCGGACTCCTTAAATAGGATTCTCCTATAATTGACTCTCTTGTTGAATTTAACCATCAGTCTGGGTTTTTGTGCTTACAATTAAAGTAAGCCTTGGGTCCATACTAATCAGCACGTGTTGGTGGCTGTAAGGCTTGGGTCCATGATATGGTGTTTAATTCTTCATGCAGATGGCAATGACAATAAAGAAGATCTTGTATGCTGCAGATGCAAAGGAGTCGGCTCTTACAGAAGCTCAAGGGCTGATAAGCAGATCCATGAATCTTGATTCAGATGAAACCGATAAAAAGAACAATCTTGATGCAGCTGAAGTAGAAGATGATTCTTAGAATGAACATATATATCTCACACTCTTGCCTTAACTTACACTGACGGTGTTAGTGTGCTACTTGATCAATAATGCAGAATTTCGACTAAACCATGGTAGCTTGGTTAGTGATGTTGATAACCATAAAATAGTAGCTTAGAGACTTGACACTCTTACAGAGACTGGATATTGTGGTATGCAACGTGATTAAAATTGATCTAAATGTGCTTATAATGAACTCTTACAGTGACATTAGATTCTCAATTTTCTAATGCAACATCAGTTGTAAAGGTAAAGCATTGTGCTTCCATGTTTAATAAGTTCATTCCCATTGCCTCATAGTTGTGATTCGAAGTAAAATGTCAATGCAATTAGACAAGCAGAAGCAGCGTGAAAAGCTGAGAACTGAGAAGTCCTTTGTCTGTCATGGCAGAATGGGTTGATGTTTGGCGGCGAAACTTTTATAATCGAATTACTTATTTATTTTCTAAATCCGAACTAGCCCATTACCTATAACAATAATACTTGCTAGTGGCTCTGCTATTTTTGTATCTCCTGTTATTGCAAAGACATCTTTCTCTTGTTTTTTGCATCAAATGTACAATGTCGAGTAGCTCGCCACAATAATGCAATCAATCAACATACACGGTACACCATCCTGGGGGGAGTTGAACATAGGCCTGCAGCTATCCTTATAGGCAATTACATTCATAAATGTTTGGACTTTGGAAGGTCAAAATTTGTTTTCATTTTTTTTTTTTTTCGGTTTGGTTACGACGGACCCCGTGCCCCAAAAAAAGCTCGTGGAAGTCTAAAATGGCCAAATATCAGGGAGCTTCATTCATCTTTTTGCGTCTAAAACCATTTGTTTAACAGCCTTATAAACCACAATAGATCGGGATACCAGGCTGTCGAAAGATCTACTTAAAAAGATCATATTCTGTTAGTCTAGGGTTCTATCATGGATGGAGAATGGAGCAAAGAAAGATACGCATACAAGGTGTGATCTCACCCAAACTCCATCAGATGTCTAGAAGATCCTTTTACTTGCACCTCCCTCCCTTTGTAAATCAACGGAGAAGGTACGTACAACAGCCCCGACCCCGAGTTGAGTTTATGGGTTTACCCACTGCACTGCAGTAAGGATCCGGGCTCGATCCGGACACCCTGTCCGTCCTCCCATGTTCATAGCTCATAGTTGATAGATAATTAACGAAGGGCGAACGTTTGGGTTAAGACTTAAAGAGGGCTTTCTTCCAGCGAGCAGAGAGAGAGAGAGAGAGACTAGGAACGAAATAGAAATGCAGACCCTGAGACGCCTCTCCATGGCCAGTACTCCATTACAGCACCTCATTATCTCATCAGAGAAATCCATTCTCAATCCCGGAAGTATCCATCTGAGAACGATAACAACCAAATCCAAAGGCGAGGACGAATGGAACGACGCCTGGGAATTGGCTTGGCTACCTGAGGACGCCACATTATCCTCCAACAAGCACAACAGGGATCCCTGGGAGAGCGACGTCAACTTCTCTTCCTCTTCTGATACCCCTACTGTGGTCCTCCCGTCGGACGTGGACGCAGAAACCAAGGCGTTCGTTGAGGACATGAACGACAATTGGAACGAGAGAAGAAGGGCTCCGAAGACAATCCACCAGCAGCAGCAGAAAGAGAGCTCTCTTTACAACGTGGAGAATATGAAGAAAGATTACAGGTTGAAAAAGCAGAAGATTCACGCCGGGTTGTGGATGAAAGAGATCGAGAAGCGGGAGGAGGCCAAGTTGGCGGGTTCATTCTCCTCTGGAGGCGGCGGTGCTGATGATATCGAGAGATTGCTTGATAGCTGCTCTGAGTATATTCTTCTTTGCTCTTTTTTCCTCATTTTTATACAAAATTGGAAATTTCCTTTTTCTTTTCTTTCCTATTGAGTAGGGGAAAATAGATACTGATTAACAAGATTTCCTATTAATAAATGGCAATTTTGCTGCTAGTTCTGTGGTTCACCGGCTTTTAGTTATTAGGGTTTTCGCCCATTAGGTATAGTTTTGCATCTATTACAAACGCCGTAGTATTGTATTAGCACCCACCGGTGGGTTTCTAAATGTTGAACTTGGACTTAGGCTAGTTTCCGAACTTTTGAATATATCAGACATGAAATTACAATGTAGCACTCCTCTCATTTATATATTTAAAATAAAATCTGGGTCGTTCTTGAGTTCATTGTCATTGCAAATTGGCTACATATATTCTGGTGTCTTTTTCCATCTTAGCTGCAGAAGTTGCATTGACTATAACTATACTACAAATAGCCTAGAATGATTTTTTTTCTGCATACTGGGTGGCCTATTTATTTATTTATTTGTTCGGGAACAACAATCAAATTATTTATTAATGCATAAAAGAGAAGACCCTAGCCTTGGAAAATTTTTGGAATGAAGGGGACCAAATACAGACAGCCAAGGTTGACAATCAAAAACTTGGTGTACCTATCTTCCATTTGCAAAAGAACTGAGGAGCTAAACGATTCTTTTGGTGTGACTGAAGCTAACATACATTTGGTATAATTTTCTTCGTGTTGCTTGTGTAAGTCTTCATTTTGAGCTTCCAAAAGTCCATGGTGATGCCTCTGCGTATCAAATGCCAGAAAGACTTGATTAGATCTTCAGGTGTGCTTTAATTGGCAATTATAACTTATGCCTTCAATATGGTTTGATCATCAAAATACAGTTTCACAAACTGGATGCTTCTTTAAAGTTAATTGAGATATGGTATTTTTTGGAAAAATAGAAAATTTAGCAGCAACTCTGTGCTGTTGCTATCCAAATAACCATGAACCTATGATGTCTTTCTCTGAGTTCATCTGTGCATGCCCTTCACAAATACAGTGTGCAGGAAATGCATATCCTTTATTTCTCTTTTCCACCTAATAATGCCGTATATGTTATGGTATTTGTTCTAACTGATTCATGTATTAGAGATTGTTTCTTCGTATACAAAAGTGTTAGACTGATGATGCCATTTGAACCCTTCTGAATTTTGTGAGGATGTCAAAGCCTATGAAGTGCTCAGCTATGCATTCATTAATACTGGAGAAAATGAGTAGAGAAGAAAAGAGGAGAAGAAAAGGAGTAGGATGTCAACCAGAACTGAATTAGTTCTAGCCGCCAACCTCTCATTGTATTATATACTCAACTTAAAAGAATAAGATATTACAAGAATACCCTTAGTAGGGCGGCTACTTAAGTAGCTGAATAGTTACAACTTAAAAACATAAACTAATGGGCCTAAAGCCCAACAACGTAAAAATAAAAAATAAATAATTGGGCCCAATAACTAGAAATCAGCCCAACTCAACACTCCCCCTCAAGTTGGGAGTAAATGTCACACATTCCCAACTTACGTAGATCATGCTCCAGCTTATTTCTTGCAACACCTTTTGTGAGAACATCAGTAAGCTGCAGATCATAAGCAATGTATGGGAGACAAATTTCCCTAGAAGTCACCCTTTCTCTGATGAAGTGTCTATCCACTTCAATGTGCTTTTTCTGGTCATGCTTAACTGGGTTATGGGCAATGTTAATTGCTGCTTGATTATCACATTTCAACATCATAGGTTCTTTTGCCTGTACAGCAATCTCTCCTAACAAGGAATGGATCCAGAGAAGTTCTGAAACTCCATGTGCCATGCCCTGTATTCTGCTTCTGCACTTGATCTTGCCACCATTGTTTGTTTCTTACTTTTCCACGAGACTAGGTTACCCCCAACAAGGGTGCAGACTCTTGAAGTAGATCTCCTGTCATCAAGACATCCTGCCCAATTAGCATATGTATAAGCATCTAGCTTCAACTGTCCATGATCAACAAATAGTATGTCTCTGCCTAGGTTTCCCTTCAGATAAGCAAGAATCTTGTCAACAACCTCCCAATGCTGGACTCGTGAGGCATGCATGAATTGACTCACCACACTCATTGCATAGGAGATGTCTAGTCTCGTCATACACAAATACAACAGCCGCCCCACAAGTCTCTTATATCTCCCAATGTCCTTTACCAGCTCACCTTCTGATGCATTAATTCTGTGATTCTGACCAATAGGGGTACTGACTGCTTTTGTTCCAATCTTTCCTGTTTCTTGTAGAAGATCCAGAACATATTTCCTCTAAGAAATGAAGATTCCATGTTTTGATCTTGCAACTTCAATGCCCAAGAAGTACTTAAGCTCTCCAAGATCCTTAATTTCAAATTCCCTGTGTAGATTCTTCTTCAAACTGTGAATCTCACTTAGGTCATTCCCTGTGACAACAATATCATCCACATAAACAATTAGGACTGACACCAAGGATCCCCTCTGCTTCAGAAACAAGGTATGGTCAAATTGAGTCCGAGAGTAGCCAAAAGCAACCAAGGCCTTCTTGAACCTGTCAAACCATGCTTTGGGTGACTGCTTTAAACCATAAAGTGTCTTCTTAAGTCTGCATACCTTTCCCTTTTCAGCATCACTGTAGAAACTAACAGGAAGATCCATATACACTTCCTCTTGTAGATCTCCATTTAGGAAAGCATTATTCACATCAACTTGAAACAGGGGCCAAGAGTATGTGGCAGCAAGAGAAAAAAGTATCCGAATAGAAGTCATCTTTGCAACTGGTGCAAAGGTCTCTAAGTAATCAATGCCATAGGTCTGTGTGTACCCTTTTGCAACAAGTCTGGCCTTATACCTTTCTATACTTCCATTTGCCTTATATTTGACAGTGTAAACCCATTTGCATCCAACAGTTTCCTTGCCCTCAGGTAGATCCACAATCTCCCATGTTTGATTCTTAATTAAGGCTTCCATCTCTTCCTGCATAGCTGTCTTCCACTCAGGTTTGGAGAGAGCCTCACTGACATCCTTGGGTATAGACACATAGTCAAGAGAGGAAAAGAAAGCACAGTAAGAAGGAGAAAGTCCACTGTAGGATAAATACTGTGAAATAGAATGAGCAGTACACTTTCTCTTCCCTTTTTCTAAGAGCAATAGGAAGGTCCAGGTTATTTGTAATGGGATTAGTAGACTCAATGGGAACTGAAATAGTAGAGGGATCAAGAGGAATACTTGAATCCATGCCAACTGAATCTGGAGTCTCCAAGGAACCGATAGGAAGTGATGTAAGTTTTGCTATAATGGAATCAACCTCCCTATGAAGTCTCTGTCATGAGTAACGCTGAGAAGCAAGACGCAAGGGAGGTGGTAAGGTAGGTGACATAGGAGGATCAGACACAGGAGTGGAAACAGGAACTAGAACCGGAAGAGGGATAGACTGCTCACTCACTTCCCCAAAACACTCCCCCTAAGAAGGTTTCTTCGAGAAGAAGGATGTGGACTCAAAAAAGGTGACATCCATAGTAACATACCAACTCCCAGAGACTGGATCATAGTAGCAGTACCCTTTCTGATTTTCTGCATATCCAAGGAAGACACACTTCTTTGCCTTCGGATCAAGCTTTGAACGATGAGGACCAAGAATTTATGCAAAGCAAACACACCCAAACACTCTGAGACGAACATGGAACATCTCCCCCTCAGGAAAAAGGATACTAAATGGGGTGCTGAATCCAAGTATACGGGAGGGCACCCTGTTAATCAAAAAGACTGCTGTGAGAACTGCATCACCCCAAAAACGAATTGGAACTGTAGATGTGATCATCATGCTTCTGCAATCTCAACAATGTGCTTGTTCTTCCTTACTGCATCACCATTCTGCTGTGGACTGTAGGAACAACTGCTCTGATGGACAACACCATATTCTAACAGATACGAAGCAAGATGTTTTTTAAAATATTCCCTGGCATTGTCTGATCTGAACACCTTTATTCGTATCCCAAACTACGTTAGCACCATCTGATGAAATTGCCTTACCAAGGATGGTACCTCATCTCAGGATCTCATTAAGTAAATCCAAGAATATCGAGAAAAATCATCCACAAATAAGAGAAAATATCGATAACCACCCATAGAAGGAACATGATAAGGTACACATTAGAATGAATAACATCAAAAGGAGATGAACATCTTTTATTACTAGCTTTAAAGGAATGTCTACAATGTTTTCCAAGTTGACAAGCTTCACACTCCAGACTTGACAAATTAACAGACTCAAAAAGCTTTGGAAATAAGAAACTCAAAGAAGAAAAAGGCAGATAACCTAAACGATTATTCCAAAGCTTAATCTGACTCATAGACCCTGACTCACTATCCCTGCTGCCATGATGATCCTGATGAGGAGGAAGCACATCCAGGAGGTAGATTCCATTCACTTCACAACCACTCCCAATCGTCCTCTTTGAATCCAAATCCTGCAAAATATAATGGCCAAGAGAAAAAAATTACTGAAAGTTCAGGTTCTTAGTCAAACTACAAATAGATAACAAGTTAGTACTCAATCTGGGAACATGAAGGACAGAGGAAAGGGAAATGGAAGCATTAATCTTGACAGACCCCTTCCCAGCAATGGGAACATGAGATCCATTAGTTGTGGAGACTCTGTCTCTACCAAAACAGAGTTGGTAAGAGGAAAAGATAGTAGAACTATGGGTCATGTGCTCTAAGGCTCCAGAATCTATAATCCAAGGGGGCCCCTCCTTACCTGTAGTAGAAACATAATTTGCAGTGGCATGTGAACTACATGTATAAGTAAAGGAAGTAGAGTGTATTCCACCAAAACCACTTGTACGTGGCTGTTCACCTATTACTGAATTAGAACTGACTGTATCCCGCTAATTTAGGAACTGCACATATCTCTCAAGTTTGGCCCTCACTACAGCAGCTGCAATAGACTCTAGAGTAGCTACAGTGGGAGGGGCTGGTATGTCACCAGTGACTGCCATATGAGCATTTCCCTTCTTGTTTTCGAGTCTATTCGGGTTTCACTTCTTCACCAGTGATATACCCTAACTTCCCACGAGTACCAATGGCCATCTTTGCAGATTGTGACCATTCTAAGTAATTTGAACCATCCAACTTAATTGTAACAATGGTTCCAGCCCCGAAAAGGTCTCCGACACCTCCTCTCACTAGTCTCATTTCACTCCTGGGCTTGTTTTCAACTCCGTTACCCTCCATAATTATCAAAAAAGGGGTAGAAGGTTACTGTAATATGCAAGAATATCAAATAAATCACTTTTGGTACCAACGACACCCTTCTAGTGCCCTAGATGGTCCTCCTACAAAAGATTCATTTTCTGCAAGACGAGAGAAGAAAGTGGAGGCAACCGCTCTCTCCAGAAACCTCCAAAACAGGTAGGACTTGAACCGCCCCCCTCAAAAAACTCCAAGGAACCCTAAAAAATTAGGGCGCCACTTCCTAGGTCAAAATTGAAGAGTGCAACAGAAACAGGACTTTCCCCCTTTCTCCAGTTTCTCCTGATTTTGATGGAAGCCCTAGACCAGCTACAGGACAAACAGATCCACCAAAAAATCCAAAAACTGGGCTTACCTGAGATCTTCGATTAACCTCTTAAATCACCATGTAGTTGTCCGATCTAGGGCTGCATGATAGAACAGCTCAATGAACCTTCGGCCTGCTCTGATACCAAGTAGAAATCACTGATTGTAGTTTTAATAAATTCCTTGTGAAGAGAAAGAAGAAGGTGAAGAGTTTTAGCAGTAGAGAAGAAAAGGAGTTGGATGTCAACCAGAATTGAATTAGTTCTGACCGCCAACCTCTCTTTGTATTATATACTCAACTTAAAAGAATAAGAGATTACAAGAATGCCCTTAGTAGGGTGGCTACTTAAGTAGCTGAACAGTTACAACTTTAAAACATAAACTAATGGGCCTAAAGCCCAACAACTTCCTAACTTAACAACTTAAAAATAAGAAATAAATAACTTGGCCCAATAACTAGAAATCGGCCCAACTCAACATAAACCATTTGGCTTTGATGTCAAATAGCTCAATTTTTGAGATTACTATATAATTTTGTAATCTCGATTGTGCTACTTAATAGAGGTAGCATTTTTTTGTCAGTTTAATAGTGGTAGCATCTCAAATGAAATTATGCTAATTTCTCCACTAAATGCAGGATTTTTGACCTTGCTAACAATGACGTAGACAACTCAAAGATCCCAAGTACTTCTGAGTTCAAAACCAAGCCGGATGGTTGGGAAACGACATCTAAATCTCAGGAGGGGAATATCTGGGAGATGTCACACAGGGAAGAAGACATCCTCCTTCAAGAATTTGAGCGTCGAATTGCATTTAGCAAATTTCAGGTATGCCACAATATGTGCTGTTGTACTTTGTTTTTCAGTAATACATAATCAATGGCTAGTGATTTATGTAAAAGACAACCAATATCCACAGCACTATAATTGTGCACCAAATTCATTGGTCCAGAACAGTTATTGCTGGGTCATAGCCCTGTCTGTTGTTCCTTTAACCATATGCAATTACATCATATTAACCCAGTGATCCTAACCATCTCATTAGTGGATTTTTATTTCCTCATTGAAACATTATCTATTTTCCAGCTTTTCAAGTTATGTGACAAAGCAACTAAGTTTTGTGGTTTCTCCAATGTGTTGTGTTGTACTGTTTGTGGCCCATCCAAGAATCATGTCTGATTTATGGAGGGAAAACTAAAAAAGTGAGCATACAAGTGTACTTTTAATGAGAATTTGGCCTTGAGACCATTTCATCTTCGTCTTCACTTATTTGGCATGTGATCCATGTCCATCATTTTGGGTGCAGATTGCCAGTTTTATCAAATCTCACATATTTAGCCGGAGGAGACCTATTGATGGGTGGAAATACATGATAGAGGAATTAGGACCAAATGCAAAGAAAGGGAAGGGTAGCGTTCCAAGGTTGCCCAGTCTATGTGATGCATCTACCCAACCTTTCAAGGAGGAGAAGACACCAGCAGGCGCCAGCGGCAGTCTCACTCGTTTCAAAGGCAGATAATAATATCTTCAATATATCCATCTTTTAATTCTCAACAAGTATTTATTGTTTATGAAAAATCTGCTTACATTTGTACCGCTGATAGAAGAGAAATATGATTTAAGTTGTCATAAATCACAATTCAAGTAATGTCCGTATATCTCATATCAATTTGGGTCTTATTTTCAATAGTTGTTTTAATCTCCTGTAGTTATTTCATTGCTTCTAATTTTCTTCCGCAATTTCTCTTGTACTCATCTGACAACTGTGATACCTTTTTTAGTGTATACTTGATAGCATGAGAACTTGTTTGACATTATCATGATCATCTAAGTCTTGCCCCAACCATATGGGGTTGGCTACATGAATCCTGTTTTGCCATTCCATTCTGTTTAGTGCCAAATCCATTGTAAATTCAAACTTCAATTCTATACAATAAATCATTAAATATAACAAGGACACATGAAAAAACTAACAAAAGTTGCCACATTAAATTAAACAAATCTCTGTTCAATTTCTATCCGCCCTTTCAAGGTTACTCCAAGACCTTCTATATGCTTATGTGGTAGAGCCCCCATTTGACTTAATTTAACTAAGGCCATAATTCTCGTCTCTATATGTTCATGCAAGGGAGCCTAACTTCTGTACATTCATTTTATGCAGCAACTCTTTAGCCCAATTTTTGAGCTCATTAGTGGTTTAGTTGCTTCAATTATTTTGTACTCTTATTAGTGCACGATGCTTTCATGTCAGTTTATCAACTACCCTAAATGAATATGCATTGCATCCACAGACCTTGCATGCCTTTTTCTCAAGTTGGATTATCAGATAATTTTGATGAATTCCTCACTGGGTTCTAATCCCATTTGAACGCCTGGAACGTGGATCATCTAACCATGCTGGATGGATAGTTCCTATTAGTTCAGTTCTGCTCTCTCTCTCTCTCTCATGCCAAATTTCTGCTAGTTGCAATGCTTTCACTCCCACATATATCGCAAGGGAATAATTAGCAAAATTAGATCTTCACCATGTGGATGAAAATTATAATTATTCACTTGACCTTAATTCCCGTGTCCTATATTAAAATATTGTTTTGGTCTTGCCGTTTTTTTTTTAATGTATGACTGTTACCTGCTTGCTAGACGTAGATCTGATAAGAGTGACTCTAAAAAGTAAGATTCACAAGAGCGCCAAAGCTTGCATTGATTAACATCCTACATGGAGAATGTGATGCTAAGCCGAGCAAGAACAAGTTAGAAGTACTAAATAATCGTGAGGTCAGATTCACCTAACCAGTTGTCTCCAAAGCGACTGTCCTAGCTCTGTATCAGAAGTTTATGATCTCTGCCTTTTTTTTCTTTTTTATCCTCTTTGCCAGTTTGCCTAACTTTCCAAATCTACCAACATCCTCCTGAACAGGTCAAATTAGTTTTTGCTACGACCATAAGATGGTTAATATAACACACTTCATTTTCCTGGTAATGGATTAATGCAACATACACCATTAGCTTCTTACCACTATAAACATATTTAACCAAATTTCATTTATAGAATACTCGAATTCGCTGGTAGATGGTTGTCCAATCAGTAATATCTGGCATCTCTGTATGTTTGTTCGTTCAATTACAGACGAGTATCGGCCAATACCAACTGATATTTTGATAATGATCAATGCTACAGTAATGTATTGAAAAGAAAATTAAAAATGAAAAAAAGGAACACTAATATTAAGGGAATAAATATCTATGCGTGTGAGAGGGAGAGAAAGAGAGATTTATAATCATAAGCAAAACAAGAATCATGTGAAATTGTGAATGCCCAGAAAGAGAACAGTTAAAAGGGGTGTTCTCCAATGTGAAGTGTTCTAGCTGTGAGTTCCAAAAACAAAACAAAACCATCTGGCAAGGCAATATTGTTCTTAAAATAGACCTGGAACTAGAACCGTTCTAGCCACCGGGTTCTCGGTCAATGGTTTGACTGTCCAGTTTGAACAGAGCCCATTTTGACAAAAAAAATAATAATTAAAATAAAAAGCAGCCAAAAAACCGTTAAATGGGTGCAAACTGATCGACGATTCAGCCATTCAGGTTTGGGGTAAAACGGAATCAATTGCCGGAACAGTTCCTAGGCCAAATGGTCCTGACCATTTGGACCAATAGCAGTTTAAAAACATTGGATAACATTCGAAAACATTGTGGTTTGAGTTCTTTTTCATTACCTAAAAAAGGAGTCTTGAGATAACATTGGATAAGAATCCCTAGTAACTTATTTACAAGCTAGATTTTGATTAGCAAACACTCCAAAAAGTAGTGGCATTGTCCCTAAAGCAAGGGAAGAGCTTAAAATTGGGAAGCTCTTGTATAAAAAGCTATGCCCTTTGACCAAGGCCGGATCTGCTATACAAGAGATGTTCCCAATGTGTGGCTGGATGAACGTGACCAACAATGTGTTGTAATTGACTGATATGAATTTTCCTTTACCCAGCATGTTCCAATTGGTAGAGGATATTGTCTTACATTCTCCTGTTCAAATGATTACGACAAAAATGTTTACATTATCATGTTGATTTGTGGAGGCAACGGTGTTACAATGAACCTCAACGTGCAATCAAACAAGATACCTTCTCTTTTTTAACTATATACAGTTTCCATGGACAGTCTCAAGGGATAAAAAAGTCTTTAATCAGTTTATGATCATCACTGCCAGAAACTGAGGGTCTGGTCGTTTCCTCTTAACTCATATCTCTTAAGAGGAATCTTTAAACATTAAGAGAAAATTGGTATTTAACAGTTTAATCAGTCTTTAATCAGTTTAATCAGTTTATGAGTTTCCTCTTAACTCATACCCCCAAAAAGACAAACAAACTCTTATATATGGGATCAAAATGGATATTTAACAGTTTTCAGAATTCATAACATTATTCTCTGCATTCAGAGTTTAGAGGAAAAAAAATTCACCAATACCAATATACCTCTTAATGTAATTATTACACTTTCATATGTCAGACTTCAAAACAAACGAACAAACCCTGAAGCTTATGCAGCTTTGCAGCACAAAGGCTTTTTTAGACCAGCAAACTCTTTAATTGCTAATAATTTACATTCTGAGCTTGAATCCGTTTCCTTGGTGAGGAATTTCCACATTCCACGCCCAGGAACGAGGGCATGGGTAAACAAATTAAGAAAAAAAATGCTTAGTACAGAAAAAATACATGCATTAACAAAAAAGTTCCAGTCTTATGTGAGAATATTTTCCCCCTCGACATATCAGTATCGCATTCTTCTCCCCTAAAAAGAATGTTTGAAATATCAAAACTTCCATTCAAACGCTAATCAGAATCTGGCTCTCCATCAACAATATCCGGGAAGGAATCCTTTGATGCATCAGAATTGTACTCCAACACAAGCTTCTTTCCTTTCTCAATGACTATCGAAGTAGTAAGAAGACTCCCTTGATCTGAAGGCAAGGCATTAGCATCAGCTGCCGCCATGAGAACTTTGTTATTTATCTCACTGGATAAAGCAGGGGTAGCTTTTGAAGAATCCGACCCGCTGCTCTCTATTTTACCTTTGTTGGGTTCTACTACATTTGCTGTCAAATCACCAGTAGGAACCATGACATCTTTATCCTGTAACCGAACATCATTATTAGGAATAATTTCCTGCACTCTCTCTGATTGAGCCATGATTGAATCCTTAATTCCTCCTGTTTCCATGTGGGCAGCATCTGTAGCCCCTCTATCACCTTCCTTGGGAAATTGAGCACCAGCTGGAAGATCAGAAGGGTGCTTTTCTGCCTGATGATCTTCAGTGGACAGCCGACCATCTTTTTCAGAAAGTTCTTGCCTACTTTCCAAATGCTTATCTGGTATACTTGCTGAAGCCTCAGTTTCTTCGTCATTCCCCAGCCAGCTGCTATATAGTTCATCATCATTAGATTCAGGTTCAATTTCATCCTTTCCCAGTATACCTCTTGGAAATGGGCTATTGTTTTTCAGACCACTAGAGAATATATTTTTTGGAAATTTGCAGTTAAACCCTTGACCAAAGTCAGGATGATCTCCTGATGGAAAGTTCACCAGTGGAAGAGCCCGAGGATGCATTAGCACTTCTAAGGCCAAAAGAGCATGAGCACAGAATTCAGCTACCTTTGTTCCTGTTTCTTGCTTACCTGATAATGGTTTATCCAAGACAACAATTTAAAATAAGGACAACGGAATATGCAGCATGATTAAAAAGAGAGTAATTGCAACAGTAGTTCTCTATTTTTAAAACAAGACTAGCTTGATGCCTGCTTCAAGAGTAATTTTTCCTCGGTCAATTTCAATTTTGTATGCAATTGCAACAGTAGTTCTCTCTCGTTTTGGTGTGTGTTTGTGTGTAGTTGGAGATTTTGAAACTTTAATACTGATGATTACATCATCGATCACATGGCAGTTGTTTTGTTTTATAAAACAAAACCATTCACATTGGCGTACACCCCCTAGATGTCAAAAGCAACTTATGGAGAAAACTTCTCAAGCACTAGGGATTTCACCATTTCAAGACCAGCAGCCTGATCTTTGAAGAGTTCATGACAAACTCGAAACTAATAAACAAGAAAAGCTGATGCCTGCCAAATTTTATTTGTTAGAAAACTTATGCCAGGAAGTCCCACTTCAATTCTAACCTTCCCACTGCAAGCCTGATTAGCAAGTATATTTTTGATAAGCCAAGACCTGTTTTTTCTCTTTGTATATACACAATTATGACCATAAAAATAAAAGTTGCAAGAATGGATTTTTTCATCAATTCTAAGAATGACAGTTGCCAAATAGAATGAAATGTAGGCAATTCAAAAAGGATTGAATATATAAAGCAAACTCACTAGAGAGAGTGATATATATTGTACGAGTGAGCTTCAAATGGATAGATGCACTTTTGTTATATTGTGTGACATGACTATAAACATTGGTGGGGGGGGGGGGAGTGTTGACGGGTAGGCACTAGGAACATGTCAATGCAAGGAAACTGTGAGCCGTAAATTTAATCAATGCAAGGTTGCATAGGGTGTTGCTTAAAAACCCCAAGCACCATTGCTGAGGACTACACAGATGACAAACGGAAATGTATCAAGGTATCATAACTTGATTATTGTATTGATTGTTTTCTCAAAAAATTTATTGTATTTGTAGATAACACTGATGTGGTCCCCACTGTGTCCATACAGTTAGTTGTTATGTTAGTTATTTCAGCTTGTTAGTTAGTAGTTATTTCAGACTTATGTTATTAATTTGTCTTATTATTTTTCCATGTAAGCAATAGGGGTAATTCCGCCCTTTTACATTTAATTGGATATGAATATAAATTATAAGGAGTGGGGCGGCAATTGCTAGTTCACTCACTCTTTTTTCAGAATTCTATCTTCGAGTTCCTCTTCTCTCCTTCTCTTCTCTTCTCTCCTCTTCTATCTTTGTTTGTTTTTCTCATCAACACTTAAAACAGGTTGTAGTCTTGTTCGACTACTTGGTATCAAAGCACTCGATCTAGGGTTTCTCATGTGGGTCTAATTCAGCCGATCACATGAGAATTATCTAGGCCTGGAAGTTTGGAAAGATCATACCTCCAGCTGATTCTTGGAGGTTACCAGAAGTCTTTAGCAGCTGTCCAAAGATTGGAGAGTGTTCTTGGTAATCAGGAAGAATCAGAGAAAATTAAGTGATCAAGATTGAAGGTGCTGATCAGAGTTTTCTGGGTAAATTTATGATCAAGGTTAGTTTTTTTATCAAGATTGAAGGTGCTGATCTATGAACCCCAAGAGAATTTAATTTTCTGCTTCTCTTGCCAGCAGGCCCAGCACCCTTATCTCCTTAAATATTTTACAATAATGCCATTTTATCCAGTGCACTACCAATTTCGAGTCCCCCCCCCCCATCAAAGAAAATGTGTTGAGAGATCTTGTTAACCATAGCCCTTTTACCACCACAAGCAGTTCAGCTTTAAAGGAATTTTGATGGCCTGAGCCCTAAACACATGATATTGACCAATGACAGTCTAGAAATTGCTCCAGTAGAAGATGTTCCAGGGTTGCCCAAGCTACAGCTATCAAAGATTAGTTCAACAACATTAGGACTAAGTGGGTACCATTGCCAGGATACCAACAATCTGGCTGAAGAAGAAGATGCCACCAAATGCCAGTCTCTAAGAATATCATCCAAAGAGAAAGGTTCAAACAACTTCAAGGTTTTAGTCCAACAACAACCTTTTATAAAGATGCTTCCAATGATTTATTTCTTGGACCCTGCAACACACTAATTTCTACCCACATAGCCCAATGTGCATGCCATCGAGGAATCTTTAGTTGTTATTTTAAGGGTTGACCTACCCATTGATAGATCTCTAAATGGGCCTTCTTACCATATAATTGAATTTAGTTTGTGAAGTGCCTATGGGGTACGCTTTTCTTGAATTTTCTTATTATTCTATGTCTTTCCCTGCTGAACCCTTTGACAGCTGTATCAAGCTTTACTTTCCCAACAAATTTTACTTTCTTCCAAACCTCTGACAGATGCTAGGATTTCAGTTTTATACACATAATTATGAGTGTGGCTTCTTCCAGTTTTAACTCATCAGTCATGTGGTTTCTTCCTTTTTCTGTTATCGTCCTCATACAATAATCACATCCCTCTTTCTTTATCAATAAACCCTTCTTACAGCCAATTGCTGAAATCCTAGCATCCCTCTTTCTTTCATATACAATTATATCATAACAAGCCCAACTAGATTCATCCAAAAATTCAATCCCAACCAAAGCCACATTTAACAATCTATGTTAGGTCAGTTTAGGATTGAATATTTGATTGAACATTTCAATTTTGTCTCAATTTAGCCCCAAATCGATCTTATCAAGCCTGAGTTGCAGTCCTACTAGTTGCATAACTACTAACTAGGCTTTCAGTGGGTTGGGCCTAAAATCCCTAGCTAGTTGCCCAGACAACAACCACTCCATTCTCTAACCAAACCTTGTTTTTATTTAAATGATTGATTCACATAAAAATTATCTACTTAGAATGAGGCTATGAAGCTAATATTAATATCTCAGTGGAGGATAAAGATTATAAGTCAGAATGCAGTTGACTCAGGTTTCCAACTGAGTAAATAAAACTAACATCAATGCTTCAGCGAACTATTGTTAGAGAGAGAGAGACAGACAGAGACAGAGAGTTACATGGAAGGTTTACCTCTGCGAAAGAGTTCAAGACCCTGTGACAAATATGGAGGGCGGACACGAGCTGGGGAAAGAAGAGAAGCCAGAAGTGCACGTAATGCAGCAAGCTGAAAATCTGTCCGAGTGGAAGTTGGTTCATCAGACAAAAGAAAAATGTCTTTCTCTTCATTGGCCCAACCCCCATTGCTGGCATTTGTTGCCACTGTTATTAGAAGAAGATCAACATTTTGTCGCCAACACTCGGATCTCAGAGCACCACCCTATAAAGGTTAAACTAATTTCTTTCAAAAAATACAAAAAATCTACAAGATAAATCATAAATTTGCAAAGGAGCCACTAATAATACGAGTACTTTCCTGAAATCAGTTATAAGAATCCAAGTTTTTTCTTTTACTATAAAAAAGCAAATTAACTGTGGCTAAATAAACATAGAAATTCTGCAAATCTGCAAGATGAAATTACAAATCTGCTAAACCCAACAGTTCTTCCACCCCTTCCAAGACCCCAGATAATCAGGACCAATATTGGGTAGTGACCTTTTTTTATCATTAGCCTCTTTAGTTGGATAAAAAGAATAGTAAAATTTTATCAATTTTCCCCAACTCTGAGACAAAATTAAACACCTTATGGTCAGCACCTTCAAGAAGATAACATCTTTAGAGAAATAAGTTCAAGCCCAGCCCTTACTGGTTTCATCTGACCGTCTTCCCAGAATATATTTAAGATTGCCACCCTTCTACCCATGTGAAGACTCTTCATATCCACTTGATATTTTGAGAAGGTCTTCAACTTACGAAGATTTCCAGAAAACATATTGAGGATGTTCTATGAGTCCTTAACAAGAAAACCTTGTAATAAATAAGCATAATATAATACTTAGACATGCTTTGTACCTGTCCCTTAAATCCAACCATTTCGATTTCTGTTACAAATCCTAACGACAACAACAGCCAGATCAATTGATAATGGAATCAACCCTATAGACTGCAATAAATCGTTACATCTTTCCACTGTCCAACAAGCAAAATCAAATTTTTGTAATAATTTACTTCATTGAATTTTTAACCTGCAAATATTCTTAAGATGACCAAGCAAATCGCAAATTAAGCATTTCCATGTGTCAACAGATGTAGGAATATTGGTTAAGTTACTAGCTAAAATAACAGATGAAGGATAATTATACACAGGCTAACACCAGAATCTTCTTGAAACATAAACCTACATACCACAGTAAGAAGAGCCTCCAATGCTTGTAATGCAGCTGTCTGGACAGCAATTGGAGTTATTGGTTTGCCTTTCACTGCTTCCATTTCTGTACCAACTCCACCCTGCTGCTCCTCAGAAAACCCCGTTATAGTACCATGCTTTCTTTTCCTATAACTTGGCAGAAGCAATCCCTCACTTGCAGCTTTTGAGCATGGGGTAGAAGATGCCTCACCACATCCATGAGCAATAGAATCCAGATCAACAAGAGCATTACTGACAACTTCCTGGGCAAGGTATTGAGCCATTCCTGCAGAGCCATCATAACTGTTAGTGGTGTTAGTGAAGGGGTATTTCAGTCTTTGTACTTGTTGAGAATGCTGATGTGTACTGTTATGTTAGTTCGAGTGCCTCTTACTTAAAGAAGGGCACTCAAGTCTTTTTCAATAAGTCAATAATATAATAATAGGTCTGGCCGAATCAAGGGATTAACTTTTTTCCCT